ATTCCATTCCATTCCATTCCATTCCATTCCATTCCATTCCACTCCACTCCACTCCACTCCACTCCACCCCACCCCACCCCACCCCGCCCTTGTTCCCTTCATCAGTTTATTACGTTTATTATTATGTTTCTAGAAAGGCCATGCATTTAGGTCCTCTTACAATGCACCTCCAGTGGGTTGTTCAAGTTGCTTCTTTCCATTCCTGTTTCAGCCTGAAATCTGCCCTTCTTCTGGGCTGGGCATCGTCTACACTACGGGCTTCAAGAGGATGGTGTGGTTTTTTGTTTTTTGTTTGGAAAGCCCTGTGAGAAGAGAAGGGGGATCAAGACGGATGGATTCAAGCTGGTGCCTCTCTGTGAATCTCCTGCCAAGCTCGCCTCCTGAATTGGCAGCTCGCTACAGATCCCTTTGACCTATCTCGGCCTTGCCAGGCGTGATTTCTGCCATCCGCTGCTGGACTCAAGGGACTTACCTCCATCCCCCATTCCTTTCAGATGAGGCTGCTCGGGAGGGGGAACCCCAGGGCCCCAGAATTGTCCGGGGAAGGGACCCCCCCGGGAGAAGCTGCCTTTTGCTCTGATGGGCTCACGGTGTGAGGAACGCTGACCTCAAAGAAGAATGAAACAACTTTGCGTCTTGTCTCTCGGTGTGGTGTGCTTCTGCCAGAACACAGGATGTTCTCGGCATGTTGATTTGGGTGTTGCTTTGTGGGGTGGTGAATAGGGGCGGAGAACGTCCAGGAATTCCTTTACCAAGAAAGAGGAGCGATTTTGTGAAATCACTCCCAATTCACCGTCAACGGGAGTACTGAGAAAAGGGGATTGATCAGAAAAATGGGAGCCAAGCTTACCTTATTTCTGTTTTATCTGTGTCCATGGACGGGTCAGTGTCCTGTCAGATAAAATCAGTGTCAAGAGTGAAACAAAGACTCATGGGTGTTGTTGACACAGAGTTTGTTCTGTGTCCCTGAGTGCATTGCAAATATTTTTAAAAAGCCCAATAACTCGTCCCTCTTCCCTTCGACTCCCAAACAGGACAACTGCTATCCGAGAGTTTTTACCCTGTGGTAAGATGGGCGGCCTATAAATTTTATAAATAAATAGATCGATAAAAATATCAAGAGATCTTTTCATTTTAAATGCTTGGTGCCAGGCCCGTGATGGGTAGTTCTCCACTTACGACTAGTTGCTTAACAATAATTTGAAGTTACGATGAACTGGAAAAAAAAAACCCCAAAGTCACATTCTCCAATAGAAGTAATTCAACCTTGCTTGATGTCGTAAATCTCCACCTCAAGGGGCCCAAGCATGGACAGCTCATTTCCCACGGGAAGAAGAATCACCTAGCCTAAACAACTCTTATCTCCACTCCTCCCCACTTAGGAATGGGGCAAGCCCGAAACCCCTCCCCCATGACTGCCAAAGAGAAAGTAAGAAAAAGAATATATACTAAGCCAAACTAAAATGGCTACATATAGGTCAATTTGGGGCTTGACGTTACTGATAACTCATCCCCGAAGTTATAACTGTAGCTCATGTAATCCACATTTGGAGGGGCCCGGCAACCAGCTTGAATTTACAACTGGTTGCAGCATCCCACAGTCATGGGAAGTGGCCAAAAAAAAAAAATCAGAACACTCCCCCAATCCAATGTATAAACTGGGTTCGCTTCCGATTCGCTTAAGAACTTAATGATTTGCTTAACAACCACAGTGACTTATCTTAAGACTTGTAAGGGCTTCAAACCAAATTCTGGCCTCAGGTGTGGTCATAAGTGGCTTTACAACTTTTGCAAGGCATGACGAGTGCTAACCAAGCTTTGGGGAAGACGGCCTTACAGAGCTAGCAAAGTGTTTTAAGTTCACATGTCAAAGTTCCCAGCTTCGGACATAAGTTAAAAGTGTTTTAATGGGGCTGTAAAATTCAGAAGCAAGTAAATACTTTTTTTTTTTAAATTAGCTGTGGCCAAGTTGGTTAAGTTTTTCACTGGAGTTGTGGGCTTGACCAACATCTCACTGATTTGAGGAAAGGAAACTCGGTTGAGGTCTATGTGTCTGAATAGAATAGAATAGAATAGAATAGAATAGAATAGAATAGAATAGAATAGAATAGAATAGAATAGAATAGAATTCTTTATTGGCCAAGTGTGATTGGACACACAAGGAATTTGTCTTTGGTACAAATGCTCTCAGTGTACATAAAATAAAAGATAACATAAAAGAATCATCTGCACAGCCAAATGGAGGAAATTCGGTGGCTTAAAAATTGCAGGGCTGCCTCTTTTTGTGATTCGAATCATACATTCATCCCTTCACCAGCTGCTCACATATTTTTTAAACTTCTTGTAAGCTGTTTTTGGGGTTTGGTAAGCAGCATTATTCTCAAGACATGACCCAACTCAATGCACTGCGTATGCCGCTTCCCAGTCCTTGGTATCTTCAGTCAAAAAGATCAGGTAGCAAGTTCATTCCCCACCATCCAAGTCAGAGCTGAAGAAGCTTCTTGGATGAGAAACGAAACGTCTTCAAGAAGGTCCAGTTGCCTCTTAGAAAAGGGGAAAAAAAAAAAAAAAGCACTTTTGGGATAACCATGACCTGGATGTGACTGAGAATCTCCACAGTCATCAGGTAGCAAGTGAGCCAAGTATCTTAGGAGACCATCACTCAAGATCCTCAAGGCAGCAGGTGGAGCTCTTTGGCCACCCAACAGATCCTGCTGGATCTGCCGCTTCATCCCTTTGCTTGGCCTTTCCGCGTGCTGCATGGCTCCTGGTGACTCCGGTTCTCCGGAGAAGGGAAGAGCATTTTTATAGCTGTGGTGAAAAGTTTGCGGTCCGAAGCTCAAAAGGTAAAGGAAGGTCACGTTTGGAAACACCTCGGCGGCCAGGTGCCAAGTGGCCTTGCAGAGGGGTAGCCGGTGAGGTTGAGATTTCATAAATATTGACAGACCTTGGTCTACCAAGTTGTGCAAGCGCATAAAGACAGGATGTACTCCGCAGGCCAGCACATGGCATGGAAGAGAAAGCGCTTTGCCTTCAGGCCAACGGAGGTCCTACGGAAGATCTGGTTTTGTAAAACCACAAAGCAAGCTGGCAACGGTCAAAATAAGACCGTCAGGATTCCGGCAGTTATCCCCATTTAAATCATGAGTCCTGAGCCAAATTCCAAAAACTTCAAAAGGATTTATTTATTATTAACCTGTCTGGCGCTGCCTGGGTGCAGCCGACTCTGAGGCACGTAATTCATTGTCACCCTTGACCCTGTTTTCCCCCAACCCCTGTGTGTATCCTAATTCATATTCTCCAATGGGACACATCCATAGCCAAGAGTTATCAATAAAGATAAAGATGAAATTTATTGTCATTGTACTCGGGAACCTGAGAACAACGAAATAAGGTGCTCTTCCACCACATACAACTGAACAACACCAAAACACATATACAAATAACAATGTAAAACAAATTAAAACAAATAACAGTTAAAAACTGTACAACCAGGATATATATATATGTTAAGACCACCAGATTCATAACTCTGCATTTAACCTGATCACAGCACTTGGGTAAAAGCTATGTTTAAATCTACTTGTCCTGGCTTTCAGCGCTCTCCAGTTAGAATTTTGCATGGCAGAAACGTTGGTCACCTAGTTACTATCTTTGAAAACATTTATGGAATTCACTTTCGATTTCCAAGCTGCCACACTGCTCTTTCAAACCCCTTTCCCCCCTCCCCTCCCTTCCCTTTCGGTTGGCAACTCTAAAAAGGCCATAGAAATATTTTATGAGTTGACAAAGACGATCTGTTGGGCCTCATTGACCCTTGTCCTACTGGAGAGAAACAGCCAAGTTAGAATCCTTAATGGAATGTGCTTTGGTGTCTTTGAATTGCAAGGGTTCATTTAGGGACGTTACCCCGGCTCTGAAAAAAAAGGTGACTTGTGACCGTTGGAACAGCCTTCCCTCGGTCCCGTGGTCAAAATTCGGATGCTTGGCAGCCGGTTCAGATTTATGGTGGTTGCCAACAACCCAAGTCCATGGGGAAGGCCGATTCACTTAACAACCCTGTGACTAACTTATGATTGCAATGATTCACTTAACGGGGGCAAGAGAGGCAGTAAATCGGGTCAAAGCTCGCTGAACCCATGTCTCGCTTGAGTACAGAAATTTTGGGGCTGCCTTGCGGTCGTAAGTGGAGGACTCCCTGCACTGGAGGTCGATCTTCATGCCTTCAAGGACCATCCTGGTGGTAGAAAAGTGTGTTTGTCTCTCCCAGCAGATGGCAGTTAGGAGCTGGACCATAAGGCCGAGGATGTGTGCGCAGCTTTGAGAGTTTGGCTTAAAGAGTCTGGGAACTGGGGCTCTCCAGACCATTTCTCAACCTTTAAGTTGTGTGAAGTACAACTCTCACAATTAACAGATGTCATTCATTGTTTTTTTTTGTTGCAATGCTGGCTGAAGTGTGATTTCTGAGAGCTGTCATGTTGGGGCTGCCTGGATTAAAAAATAATAATCAGAAAATAAAATACAAGCCGAACAGTCAAGACCTTGTTGATGATCCAAACTCTGTCAAGGACCTTGGAGTACTCATCTCTAATGACCTAAGTGCTAGAGCCCACTGTAACTACATAGCCAAAAAGGCGTTAAGAGTTGTTAACCTAATCCTACGTAGCTTTTTCTCTGGTAATATCACACTACTAACTAGAGCATACAAAACAGTTGCTAGACCAATACTTGAATACAGCTCATCAGTCTGGAACATGCATTACGTATCTGATATTAACACAGTGGAGAAAGTCCAGAAATATTTCACAAGAAGAATTCTCCACTCCTCTACTTGTTGCAGAATACCTTATGCCACCAGACTTGAAATTCTAGACCTAGAAAACCTACAACTATGCCGCCTTCAGTCCAATCTATATATAGTACATAAAATTATCTACTGCAATATCCTACCTGTCAATGAATACTTCAGCTTCAACCATAACAAGACAAGAGCAAACAATAGATGCAAACTCAAGGTAACCCGCGCTAAACTTGATTGCAGGAAATACGACTTCAGCCACAGAGTGGTCCATGTCTGGAATATTCTACCTGGCTCTGTGGTTTCTTCCCCAAACCCCAAAAACTTTAACCTTAGACTGTCTACTATTGACCTCACCCCTTTCGTAAGAGATCTGTAGGGGGAGTGCATAAGCGCACCAATGTGCCTACCGTCCCTGTCCTAATGTTTCTTTTATATATATTTTTTATTTTTCTTATATGTATCTATGTATTCATAACTATGTTTTTACTTATACCTATTATCTTGTAAGCAATTGACAAATACAAATAAATAAATAAAATAAAGAATTGCGGCAGAGGATTATTGTTCCTGCCAAATAGGCTTCCGGGTTTAAAAGACTGGACAACCACTTGTCCAGGGAGACATAAGGACTTCTAGCTTGGGCAGGGAGTTGGACTAGAATTGACCTATTCCCTTTCCGCACGTAGGATTTTAGGATTCTAATATTTATGTTTCTTGCAGCCAAGGTCTGAGGACAGCTGAAATAGGGGAAATAACATACAGTCCTCAAGGTCAAGTAACATGGTGACGGACAAA